TTGGTATCCAGGTGTTGTTCTTTGATTTTGTTGAATGTCGTCGTCTTTTATCACTTAAATGAGGTCCACACATTGTTAATTCAACATATGGACGAAATATTCCTGATGTACGCCATTTTAGACCATTGGTAGCAACAACTAGAATAATAAAATTATAAATAAAGTCATTTGATATTCTAAATTATCTTCGATAAAAAAAGAAGTATTTTACCTTTAACGGTGACTTTATGTTCACCGAAGCCAGGATGAGTAAATAAATCCACCTGAATAGATACTTCGCCAAATGATTCTTCTTGAGCTGGACGATCTATAACAGCAAAAAAAGTTGATCTTATATTTTTATTCAAATTAATAACTCTATCTTACCTTGTTCTTTTCCGGTTTTAACAAATGTTTTAATAAGACTATCCGTTGTTTGTGTATATAATGACAATGCATATTTCAATGACTGTAATTCTTGTGTTTTTTCTAAATAATTTCTAATGCTGTATCAGAAGAAGCAGAAGAAGAAGAAGAAGAAAAAAAAAGAAAGTAGATAAACGCGATGCTCATAAATAGATCTGGGTTTAAATCGATAATCATACAATCTTGTGAATTTCAACAAAAGTTTTATTGCATAAACAAACTAACTATTTTATTGATAATTCATATTATTTATCATATCTTTCTCTTAATTTGAATATCTGCATGCTCGTATAAAAACTAGAAATATGTATATAGATATATGTATATATGCTCGTATTACCGCTTGAATATATTTGTAGCACTATAAGCAGTTGTAGAATTTAATTCTTTTATAAGATAAAAAACTAAGTAAAAAAAATTTTTTTTTCTTTTGTTGTGAAAATACTTACGTTGGATAATCTGATGTTTGATTTTTAGATTCTGGTACAACAGCTTTTACCGATTGATCATAAAAACCTTTTACTTTAAAATGTAATGTCATATATGCTGTACTTTTTACTTCACGTTTTTCAGCTGGTATTCTAGCATGTTCTGAAGCATTAACAAATAAAATAAATGAATAAATATATGATTATTTTGATAAATAATTGTACCTTCTAAATGTTCTTTTAAATCGGCTGATAATAATTTCCATAGTGTATCAGCACTATTTTGTCCAACATTTAATTCAGATGGAAATCTGAAAAACAAGAAAAACAAAAATAAATAGACATTTCTCATAGACATATTTTGAATACATACTGATTTAATACAAGACTATATCGTTTACAATCTTCTATAATAACACAATTTAATAGACACATTAATTTTTGCCAAAATAATAATGATTTTAAGCTTGGTCCAACTGTTTCAGTATCAGCTGATGGTGGATTTGTTTGTTGGGGTGGATGATCATTATTTGTCGCATCTGTTGTTGTTGTATTTATTTTTTCAACACCGGTTGTATTTTCAAAATCTCGTCGATAAACTTCATCACAATTATCAAATAAAAAATAATATGTATCATGAATACAATTTTTAATATAATATTTAGCAACACCGCTTACACCTGGTGGACCAGATAATTCTTGTACCTGTAAACATGGACATGGTTTTGATATATGCATCATCACTGTTCTTTTTTAATCAAAATACACTTACATTCATGCTTTCCCTTGCTGCCATTTTATTTATAATAGTCAGATATTTTTGTGGTTCTGATACATTCAGATAACAAAAAAAAAGAAAAGAAAAAGACTAATTCTTTATACAGGTAAATGCCATTTTTATGATTGTATATATATTTTTTTTAATTTTTTTACACTGTAATCTGATAGACGCAAGGCACAAATTCTTTTTTTCATTCTTATTTTCCCTTGTTGAACGAAAATAATATGTCTCAATAACATTATTTTTCATGTTTAAACGGAAGTTCAACTGATTTCCTATAGCTGATTAGAAACACGTTAACTTTTGTTTATCTATTTAAAAAAACCAGGTATATAGGAATAGAGACATACAATGTAAATGAATGATAGACAGTCTCCATCGATTATTTCAGAAATTTCATGCAGTTGCATGCGTGATGTGGCGTTTTTTTTCTTCTTCTTCGAGGAAATTTTGAAAAATATCAGCAGCTAGCTATTTTGATGAAGAAATATTTGAAAAGAATATGTGTCTGTTTTATACACAAATCGAGAGTCTGCCTGTCTTTTTTTCTTTTCTTTTTTTAAGCACAATCATAGGGTATAGAAGCATTGTGCACGATAAACTGCTCTGTTTCATGCTTTTTGAAACTCTTACCTCATTATTAACAAAAATTCTGAATGGACCACCTCTTATACACTAGAATGAGTGGGACTCATTTTTAGAGGGGAAAAAAATAAATTCTACATATAAAAACAAATGTTTACCTTCATTCGAAAGAATGTTATACTTGTTAATAGATCAACGGTAGATTTTAAATCTTGCGTACGTTCATCATTTGACGATGGAAAATTATTCTATCAAATAAAGATGAAGATTTAGATGTCATTTTTTATAGACATATTTATAAATACATACTCTGTACATAGATAAATCGATTCTGATTGTATTGTGTAATTGATCGAGTAGTTTAATAAATTTTTCTTTCTAAAAGAAAAAACAAAAAAAATAGGAAAAACTAAACAAATATGATCATATTTGTTAGAGTTAAATGTGTATTATGTAAAACGACAAGCAATATGAGTCATGGCTTGATAAATTGATTCAATACCATAACGTATCGCAAATTCAACAACAATATCTTAACAACTAAACTCGATATTTTTCCACAAGAGCTGGAACTTTTGTGGGAAAAACTCGATGTTTCCTCACCAGAACTTCATCTGTTTTCGTCAAAAACTCGATATCTCTCCGCAAGAACTTCATGCTTTTTCGTCAAAACCTCGATGTTTTTTCAAAAGAACAGCAATTTTTTTTCCAAAACACTCAGTGTTTCTTCGCCAGAAGTTCAGCCTTTTTCTTCAAAACCTGGATGTTTTTTCAAAAGAACTGTAGCTTTTTTCCAAAAAAATGAGAAAATCGATGTTTCTCCAGAAGAACTTCATGTTTTGTCATGAAGAGAGCGACATTGCTCTAGAAGGACTTGTTTTCTCCTAAGGAAACCGACGTTTCCACGGAAGAAGTTTATGTTTTTTCTTGAGGAAACTGATGTTTGTCCACAAGGAATTCATGTTTTTTCCGCAAGAAACAGACGTTTCGCCACTTCGAGTTTTGCCCCTAGAAAAAGTCGTTTCTTCGGAAGAACTGCATGCTTTCTCCTAAAGTAGCCGATGTTTCTCCACAGGGAATTCATGTTTTCTCGGGAAGAAACCGACGTTTCTCCACAAGGATTTCTCGTTTTATCCTCTGGCAAAAGAGATGTTTGGCTGCCTTTGATCGGTTAAACAACTTAAAATAAAAGCAAAGTTGATTGTCTTTATTTTAGATCGAATAGAAAGAAAAAATACGATAAGAATATTTATGAAAAATACAATAGTTTTTATTTCTATGAAAACTAATATTGTCTACACAAAATATTATTGAAGTTCAAGTTCGTAACCAAAACGATTTAAAATATCTTTAAACCGTACTAATTCATATCCAGATAAAATAAATGTACCATTTGTCAAACGTCCCGTGTTGCTGATCGCAAGTAATTCTTTACCATTCACGTTGTATGTAAACCATGTTTCAGCTAAATGATGAAACATTGTTTGTTGTAGCCAGGTTTTAACATCTTCAATTGTTAATTGTTTTAATAAATCTTTGGCCGATTCTGAACAAGAGTCACTGGAAGAAGGTGTAGACGACGAAGCTTTCGGAGGTGATTTCGAGCTTTGATCTTGTTTAGCTACAACAAAGAAAAAGTAGAAGGACAATTTTAAACAAGTTTTTCTTTAGTTTTCTTTCCCGGAATGCATTTTTATAAAAAATTAACTTCGTAATTCGGACAAGTAATGTAGTAGATTCTGTTTTAGTATCCAAAACTTATCACCTTCAACAATTAAACTTTTCTCCCTGCCGGTCTAACTTCTTTAAAGTTTTTATTTCTTTATGATGCTTACGTGTTTTTGGAGATTGAAAGAGAGGAGCAGGTGAAAGTCTTCTATCTCTTTGACTTTCTGATTGTATCATAAATGTTTGTTTTGAAGCGTGATCAAACATATATTTGTTAATAAGATTTAAATCGATTGTTCGATGACAATGAAATTCAATATTAAGTGAAATACGTTCTCTCCACTTGACCCAACCAAAAATGCCATGTTTATCGGCAAAGGATTTCAATTGACCACGAATGTCATACGTATTAATATTCTCCAAAGTGTATGATAATGTTGTTCCCCAACAATCATTCTCAGGTAAATCAATGCCATAGAATAATGCTTCACTATATAAATCTCGAACACTGCATGGTAAAATATCTGACACACAATTTTCTGATAAATAATTCATTAAACATTCGAATTTCTTTGGATCACGATCAGTACGGTAAGATCCATCTTCTGAATTTGGTTGATCGTTGATCAATCGCCACAAAAATGCTGAACGACGTATTGTTGTTCTCGCCATTTCAAATAAAGTACCTCGTACAAAAATTTTAACAAAACCTTGAAGATTATCTCTCTTCTTTTCCTTATCCACTGATTCTTCAATATCGGTAGTATTATCAGTCACTGTGTCGCGTTTTTCACCCTGTCCTGTTGATAATTTTGTATTAGCAGCCATATGAGAATATTATGACTTTATTTAGAAATCAAAAAACAGAGATCTATATTATTCGAAAGAACCTACATAAAACTGTGCTTTAAGAGGGATAAATCTATTAAGCGATATTCAATCAAGAACGATTTAAGGTACTTTTACACTTTAAGGACACTATCGTCCGCCGGAATCCATGTAATACAAATGGTAGACTATGGACCAATCAGAAAACGCAGGAGAGACTGTTCAGGTTCGCTGTGCTGAAGCGACATCTATCGAAAGTTATACAGTGCTTTAGGTCGACTTAAAGAGAGCTAGAGAAAGCTCTTTTAATATCACTCTTTGATGCTTTAACCCAAGTTCAACAGCAGTCTACCAGGCCATGTCAACATAAACTAAAGTGTAATATTTGTTGAATAAATATATTTTCAAACAATTTTCTCTCTGGTTTAAGTCGACATAGACCCAGCAGAAAGTTCTGTCGAAATAATGGTTGGTCCTTTCACTCTTTGGTTTAAGTCGACTAAAACCAAATGGTTCATGTCGAGTTGAACCAGCAGTCGCAAACTCACAGTCATGCTCACTTCGGTGCTCTCCCACCTCTGGTAGCAGTCGTGGTTTATGTCGACTTAAGCCATTGCTTACGGGAACAGAGATGGTGCTTGCAGTGAGTGTGGTAGCCTGAGTGTGAGTGCGAAAGTGTCTGTGTTAACATAAACCAGCAAAGTCAACATTGAGTTAGACCCACAGAAATTGTAAATTTCAGAAACTATTTTCAGTTTAATAAAATATAATTTGTTTTCGCCGAATTATGTTGACTTCAATCGTTGATGTCAAAAGAAAAAAGTTCATAATAACAGCTTACAATCTAAGTTGCAGTGCCCATTTTAGGCATCAAAGGTCAAAAGCATCAAAGACTGATGATATCAAAAGAGCTTTCTCTAGTTTAAGTCGACCTAAACCACTTTCGACAGATGTCGCTGCACCACTCTCATTTTGTGACTAACAAAAACGTGTGGCTACTGTCTTTGTTGCTTGTAAGAAGTTACCTGCCTAATGGCCGATAAGATTTTTCTTTCCTTTCTGATTGTTCGTTGAATACGATTTCATGCAATGTCTTTGCAGTTCAATAGATGTCGCGTGATTCTGAACATGGTCTACGAGCGCAGATATTATATAATAGTAAAAGGTATTTTATTAACTTATATTTGATGTAATATCTTTGTGTGAGGGACGGCTTCAGATTAGATGTTAGATGATTCATTGTATCTTACTATTTTTTCTTTACTAACTCTGAAATATCAAACAGTCTTCCCTCTCATTCATTGCTTAACTGAGAGAATATTTTTTTGCTTTAAGACTCTGCAGCGACGTTTTACTTCGAGTCATTATCCATCACATTAAATAGCCGTTTTGGTCGAGAAATGAGTGGATTATGAGTGATAGAGTGACCCAAAGTTTTCAAGTTGATCTTCAGATTTTAGAAAAAAAATTTTTACTATCCGAAAAATGAGGAAAACGTCAATGTACAAACTAAAACTTTGCTTATGAGAATAAAAGTTTGTATATTCTAGTAAAACAAAAATAAACTTTAATTACAATCTTTGGTCTACATCCAGTGTACTAAGTTAATGGTTTCTGATAAGTCTGAAACATTTTTATTCTTATTGTATGTGAAAAACTAAATTAAAAAATATAGTTTTAACATCATTCAAATATCACACGACCCAAAATATTTTTGGTTTTTCATCGAAAACGAGAATCTCGCTTCCCTATCTGGCAAAAAGCATCAAGTCTTTTTAGATAAGAGATGAAGCCAAATTTTTATCTCATTAGACTCGCTCTGTCTGCACGAAAAAAGTTGAGTATCCTTTTTTGGCAAGTTTTGTTTCGGTCCCGAGAAATTCAGGTTTAACTTAGACGCGAGAAATTAAAGATTATCTTTGTTTTACTAGAATATACGAACTTTTATTCTTGTAACAGGTGTGCCATGAAGAATGGGTATTTTGTATTTCCTCAATAACACGTCAGTTTTGATCCAATCGAACTAGTTCTTTTTTAAAGATTCATCGTTCAATTCTCTACCAAACCATAAAAGGTTTTTGTTCTAAGCTCAAAATGAAAAAAGTTATTGTAAAACTAATGAAGAAGCTGAACATGTCTAATTCTCAAGTTCAAATACATAAACTGTTTTACCATCTTTTTCTGGAGTAAAGCTCATCTGGAAAAACATTAAATTATGACTCACTGTACAAAAAACTGTGCTCTTTCTGATCGTATAAAAGAATAGACGTTTCGCTCAAAACCAGTGAAGTCAAATCTATTTTTTGCTTGCCAGATCGAAAACTGATGGTTTTCGTCTTGACGTTTAAACCTGGAGGAAAAAAGTACTTTTTGTATGACTTAAGCATGGATTCTCGAAGTTCTTTCGATTAAAAAAGGGGTTCAAAGTGAATACTGAAAGTTTCTCAAAGTGCAGTCACTGAATAAATACAGCCCTCAGTTGCGCTGCATCTCGTCTGTCTTAGGCGTATATCTTCATTTATAGCCACGAGTTTTTTAAGTATTTTTGAAGAGTAGTCTTTTTGCTGTAAATACTTTTCTTTGTTTAATAACGTTTAGTAAAGTAACAATGTTCTTCGTTCACTTGACTGACAGAAAAATGAGCCAATTTTAGAGCACTTTTCGTATTTATTTGCTGTTCTTAATCACGATCAACCTTTAATCATGATTAGTGCGGTCACATTGTTTATTTAATCGTGATTAAAATAGTATTAATCACGATCAAAAAAGGATGTGGTCACACTACAAAATCGTTAATCATGATTAAGGCTGTAGTGTGACCCTAGTGATACGCTCTGTATATAAAAAAAGGTTTATATCTTTTCCATATTTATATGCTCTGACGTACACTACGGTTACACCACGCAATAAGCACGATTACTTTACATCAAAATGTTGTGACAAGAAAAAAATAGAAGTACTTAGAACAAAAGTTAATGAAATGAAGGATAAAATGGAAGGAAGTTTAGGTTCATTTTATGTTAAACAGCACCTTTTTTACACTTTTTGTAGTATAAGGGTAGAATTAATACCGAAAATGCTTTATGATGATGAAATGTAGCTAATCAAGATTTTAGTATAAAGCCTCGTGCTGTTAAAAGTTTCTTCATTTTTTCGTAGTTGCAGACACATGCTAGACACAATAAGACATTTTTGTGTCCGGACATATTGGAGGCACTTGTAAGACATATTAATGAAAACGATAACGCGCCATCAATAAATCGTCTGTCATGGTTTCCATAAGGTTTTATCTGTCAAAAAAATTTCTTTCACAGCGTAACGCCTTTCTCAACAGCCACTGATTAACTAGCACCATTATTTCTTTCCCAAAATACAAGTGTCAATAAAAAACAGTTAAAAAATGTTGTTTGTTTACGTTAATACTTCAATATTTATATCATATTATAATCGCAGCAAGAGTTAACATAAACTTAAGACAAGTACAGGCTACTCTTAACTTAAGCGTGAACTTAAGCTAAGTCTATGACTTAAGAAATTCTGTGAAACACTCAAAATTAAGTCTGGCTTAACTTTAACTTAAGACAAAACGGAGACTTAAGTATGACTTAAGTCTAAGTCGAAGACTTAAGAATTTCTGTGAAACACCCCCTGCTTAGAATTGGGCAAAGACGCCTATTAAGAGGCATCCTTCCAGTAAGCGTTCTGCGAATCGGAGATGAGCGTTACTTGTATGGATACCGTTGGCTAATTTGCTTGCTCGGCAGTTCGTAGTTGCTTTATCAAATTTTTGATTGGTCAGTCTAACACCATTTACGCAGTAGTCCAACACACAGCCTTCAAGGATAAATTTCGGTGAGTAGCGCTGTACCCAGTCGAATCAGACGAAAGCGCGCGTGTGAAACGCTTGGTACGAGTGTGAAATATACGTTTTGTACACGTGCAGAAGCAGTGATATTTTACACGCACTTCATCTATAGAATAGCTCTAATCACCCACAGACGGTGACAGCAATATCTAGCTATTGCTAATTTTGGGGGCAAATCAACAGAAATAAGACCTAACCGAGAGAATTGTTTAAAATTACTTTTGTGGTAGAACACTATGGCCAAAGCGGAGAGTATATAAAAACATATAAGGACGGGGTACCCTTTAACCCGCTAAGAGATATTGAAAGCGATTGTTATCATTATGCTTAGAATTGCTTCAAACCCCAGGACATTGAAGGGTTTTCTCGACTTTTACAATTTTTTTTCGATCATCACGCACCTACTATAAAAGCGCTCGTTTCCACGTACAACTGTTTTATTCATTTTGTATGCTGACCAATAGAAATTCAAAATGGCTGACAGGCCTAAAATTCTACGTGCAGCGCTTCTTTTTCCAAAACAAGGTAACGCTCGTCTCCACTCGCTCGGTCCCTTGACTTTAATAACCTGGATCTGCGCTACTGAACGCGCTTTCGTGATTTTTAAATCGAAGACAATGCTCACGCCTCCCTTCGGTCGGCGCTC